AAAAAAAAAAAACTGACCCATGTCTTGGAACCCTTCAGTCCAGGGCAAACCGTGAAGGCTGGTCACCCTAATGCCACATACAACCTAGAGATTTGGATTATTGTTCATTTCATTAATTTGAAATAGCAGCAGGATATAGAGAAAAATCAGAAAGACCTGAGTTAGAATCCCTGTTGCTGCATTCACATGATGAATAATTTGGAGGAAATTACTTAATGTGAGCAACAATTTCCTCACCTGTATAGCGCAAGGATAATTGTAATTCTATGGCAACAAGTCATAAGAGCTCCCTAAGAACATGTGTAAAAGCACCTAGCACACTATACATTCCCAACAAATCTTAGGGTTTTTTAAATATTAAAAGTGAATAATTTCGAGAGGAAATTCTAATTACCCTTAAATCATTTTCTTTATATATAGTAAGTGAAATCTCATGCAGACTCGTAAAATAAGACTATTCTATGTATATTTTAAACAATACATGAAATTTTATGCTAGAAAATAGTAACTGAGCTTTTTTTTCACCTGAAGATTGTTGAAATCCACTGTCATAATTTCAAAGCACTCTGTCAAAGCCAAATATCCTCCAGGAACTCGACTCATTTTTTCAGTTGTATAAGGTTCCATTGTTTCTTCAGTATCCACAGAAGAATAAGCTGGACTCTGAAATTTCACATTTGTTGGCAAATGGATACCAGCAATATCCTTACTACCCACTCTGGTGAGGGAGGATATAAAAGGAGGAGAGGAGGAAGATGGGTTTTTTTTAGAATCAAGTAACATACCTAATATTGAATCCAGAAAAAATACATATAAATGAAACAAAACCTCATGAGCAAAGGTTGCTTAAACACAGCTACATACACACATACATAACCACTAAGTATAAAAGAGCTTCCGCTCATTAAAAGCTACCTATAAGAAAGTATTAATAAAAAGGCAAGCCTCTGAAGGGGAGAAGATACATTTAATTCAACAAAAGGCTCATGTCCAAAATATATTTTAAAAATTCCTGCGGGGCGGCGGGGGGGCCAAGGGCAACATACGGAACCTAAACATCTGTACCCCCATAATATGCTGAAATTATAAAAAAAAAAAAAAATTCCTGCAAATTTATAAAAGACAAACAAAAATGGGCAAAAGACAGACACTTCACAAAAGGGCATATCCAAATGGCCAATAAGCATATGAAATGCTGCTCAGCTTCAGTAGTCACCAGGGAAATGGAGTTAAAACCACAAGGCATACTACACATCCAACAGAATAAGAGAAATGAAACAGTCAACACCAAGTGCTGGTGAGGATACAATCTCATACACTATTGGTAGGAGTCTAAAATTATAATAGTAAGACCATTTTGGAAGACTACTTTGTAGTATTAATACTAACTCAAGATGAACATCCCTATTACAGATTCCCTCAATATAGGAATCTCACAGTGTTTGGTATTTCCACTTCTGGGAATACAGCCAACAGAAATTCATGCATACTATCACCAAAAAATGTTTAAGAATGTTTACAGCTGCACTATTTCCAATAGCAAAAAAACTGATATAACCTAAGTGTCCATCAACAGTAAATTAGACAAATGTATTGTGGTATATTCATACAGTGGAATATTATTCAGTAATGAGAATGAACAAAATACATGCAAAATGCATGTGTTGGACAAAAGAAGCTAGCCACCAAAAAAAAAATGACACTGTATGATTCTATTTGTATGAAATTCAAATGGGCAACACTAAACTATGGTGTTATATTCAGGATAGTGGCTACTTTTGGGGGAGTGGGATGCTGGTAACTGGAAGGGGTTTCTTCCTGGGCACTTTCTAAGGTGGTAGTAATGCTCTGGTCCTTAACCTGAGCACTGGTTACACAGGTGTATCGACTTCATAAAAATTCATCAAATCATACATTTATGGTTTACTTTCTATAAAAACGTTTGAAGTCAATAAAAGGAAAATGCTCAACCTCATCTCACCTTACCTCAGTGGTATTTATTTTTTAGTCTATTTCCCTTTATAAAGTTCCAGAAGTTCAAACTACTTCTAGAGATTATTATACTTACAAAAGATGAATCGTCAAATGGAATTAATGATTTTAATAACGCTTAACTGAAAGTCACAAGTTACAGAAACAAAAAATATATGACAAATAAGTTCCTTTTAATTTATTACAAAACACATGAATGTAAACATTGTCAAAACTTCAATCAATACAGCAAAAAGTAAAAGTCTACCTTCACAATACTCCTTGCCCTCATTCCTTCACTGTTAAGTTTGATGTATCTTTCTGTACCTTTTTATGTGTTTAATAA